GCATAACTACTAAAATAGTGGCCCGATCATGCTGATTTTCGAACTTGACCTGCGTTTTAGTAAGATTGATTATTCCTGTGAGTGTCATGACAACAGGCCTAACGGTTTTCCTTAAAATGTGTTTACAAGGTTGCATATATGCTGAAAAGTGAAAAAACAGCATAACTTCTACAATAATGGCCCGATCATGCTGATTTTCGAACTTGACCTGCGTTTTATGAATATTCATCAGCTCTGTAAATATAAAGCCAAAAAGTAAAACTGCCTTCCACTTATCGTGTTTACAAGGAAAGTGCACGGCGACGGCATCGCCATCGGCGACGACAGACGCAGGTGATGGCAATATGTACAGACACATCTGTGTCTGTACATAAAAATGTGTGATTATTGGTTTACTTATAAGTAATAATGTGTTATTGTTTTGCTATGAGTATAGAAAATAGATTCTGTAACTTTAACCCAATTTTTAAAAGGTTTTATTCATGTATTATTTTTTTTCTCCTTATCTGAACCATCACTGACCAGCCTTACCAGTGTCACAGTCATACTTATCATTTCCTGAAAAACTCTGTAGGCACAGTTACACACTCAAAAGGCAAGAGTACATATCACCTTCCAGGCTCATAGCCAGCAATTTCAGAGAGAAGGGGAGATGTTTTCCGTAGAAGCGAACCTTTTACTATGAAACATTTTTGTACCTAGAGCAAATTTACCAAAGTAGATCTTTTCACAGCAAAAAGTGCAGTATGTTTGAACCTTCTGAACCCCCCTCCTATTGACCTGCCTTCACTAATATGTCTAATAAGCTCCTCCCATGTATTCTACCTCCACATTGATGGCGTCAACAACTTACCCTGCAGGGCGGCCACCAGTCTGGGTCTTTGGATGGCGTTGGTGGTGCCATCTCCCAGCTGACCCTCGTCATTATCACCCCATGTGAACACCTCACCTGTATGGTGTAAAACCTGTGTTAATGTGTGTGGGTGTGCATGCACATTTTTTTTTCTTAAAAACAATATCATTTCTTAAAACAACATTTTTTTTACATAAAACAACAAATCCTTTTCTTAAAACGAAATTCAACTATTTTTATATTTTACAAGCACAACACCTGAATACTTTACATTTCAAATTGTATTTTCTTATACTTCCTATGAGAAAAAAAAAACTCTCTTGACTACCTGTGTCAGTGCAGCAGACGCAGTGCAGACTTCCACAGGCGATGTGAACCACATTCTTCCCCTGAATTGCTGTCACACGCTTGGGACGTCTCACGTGGTCATCTGTTCCATGACCTAATCTGTGGTAATCTCCCTTACCCCTAGTTAAATGGGACAATTTCGAAGAGGTATTAAACAGGATTAACAGGATTTAAGTGCATTTTTCAAGGAAATACTGTTACAGTTAAAAATATATAAATCAATCACTATCAATCTTGATAATTACGTATATTAAGACAGGCCATGATGGAAGCAACTTGTATTATATTCACTAAAGAAGATTGAGTATACTAAGTGAAAATGCCTTTTAGAAGAGATTATTGTGACCAATCTTTATCTCAAGCAACAAAGAAAATGGAATTGTATACCTCAACAGAATTGCTCAAAGAGGAAAGGGGCCCAGTGTTTAAAAAATATGAAAATGGCAAGCCACTTTGGAACACAATAAAACAAAGCAATAATGATGAACAGATCAACTTAAATTGCTGAAAAGAAACTCAGACTACTCACCAAGTATAGACTGCTCCAGTTGAGGTGAGAGCCACTGAGAACTGGGACCCACACTCTACCTTTATCACACCAACTTCATGCATGGCGTCAATTTTCATTGGCACTTTACAGCCATCACTGCCACCTCGACCTAAGATGTCATATGTAAAATTGTAGATTTACCACAATAGTATCATCTTTTAATTGAACCTGCTCATGAATGGCCAATATTATGTGAATAGCACTTACAGACATTCCAAATGCAATTTTTCAGAAATAAAATGAAGGTATACTAACAAGGGAATCAGGGTTCATACAGGAATACAAAGAACAAATTCTAGGACTGTCAAGGAATTTTGAGTCTCTAATTCAAGTATTTTTCCAGTACTTTTTGAATGCAATTGAGGACAATATACTGTCATCTTTAAGAGTACATAGCAAAGAAAAAAGACGAGTAATATTTCATACAAATTTTGCATTTAAACACATTAACAAGGTTAAATAGTCAAGATTTGAAATAATTTTGACATATTGCTAAATGACTTAATTCAATACTTTTCATAGGTAAAAATGATGAAATATAAGCCCTTTTCAAGGGTAATAGCAATTCTAAGTACTCTTCAAGGCTGTAAGAGCCCTATGTGTTTTTCTGCTGACCTAATTTCCCATAGTCTCCGTCTCCCCAGGACCAGACTGAGCCATCATTGGTGATACACAGGGTCTGAGCATCACCACTTCCACAGGCCACATCCTGGACAAAATACCCTCGAAGAGCTTCAACCTGAAAGTGTATTAATCAAAAGAGATATTATTTTGTTATAGTATCTTCATGCAGGCAAGATGTGCACTGTGCTTTGTGAATGGATACTGGTAAAGTAGACGTGATATTTTATGACTGGCAACTTATTGAGAAGCTGAATAAAGAGCACCCACATTCATATCAGTGCTGAAATAAATGTTCCGTTGAGTTACCAATTTATTTTGGGTATAATCAAATATGGATGAAAGTAAATTATTACTTTATGCTGTCTTGTGAATGATTAATATACAACCGAATCATAATCAAATACCAAATATAACTTTACAAAAGAACTCACCAGTTTGGGTTTGAGTTGATCCTCACTGTCCCCATGACCAAGACGTCCATATCGTCCCTTCCCCCACGTGTACAGCTGACCACCTGACGTAATGCATGCAGAGTGTGCGCCACCCGCTGCGATGTCAACCACTTCAGTGCCTCGCAGGCTTTCTATCACACGTGGCCTGTCACATGGACTACAATTAATGTGAACAAAAATTTGATTTGATAGAAAGTAATATGTAAGGTAAAATCAATATCAAAATTTGTCTTTTTACCAGAAATTATCTTTAAGTTGATAAATTTAATACAACTCTTAGGATACTTCTGCAGAAAAATCATTCTGTGAAAAACACAAGGCTCTTGCTGTTTTGACCAATTATAGTATTCCTCCATGCAACTTGAAAATTCTGGAAAAATGGACGTTTAACCGTGAAACCTTGGTGTATTAATTCCAGTCTTTCACCAGATCAGACCTTTTCCTGGCAAAAGGAGCAAATAGATCATACCCTCACCCCCCCTGGATACAGGCCAGGTAAACACCTCACCACCATGATAATATTCCTACCCCTCATCTTGTCCTCCATCATCAACATTAAACTCACACCTGGTCACTAACCTCTTATTTCCATGTCCAAGTTTCCCATCCTCTCCTTCTCCCCAGGAATACACCTCTCCCTCAGCAGACAGCGCCAGGCAGTGTTTCCCGCCAGAATTCACGGTCACCTTGGTGATAAAGACGTGCTGTATGGACTCCAGCAGCGTGGGGCTGGCCACAGAGTCTGAACCTCCAATACCCAGCCTTCCTCCTGCACCATAGCCTGTGGCATAGACCTGAATATTAAGGAATTAAAATGATTAAATTAATCTATCCAGAAAGATTTATAGATCAGAATTATTATTTTTTTTACAAAAGTAATAAAGGCACTGTAAGCTTTCAACTGCGACTGAAGTCTTAATCACATTGACAACTTGGATATGCAAAGGAATGTTTGATGTTAGTGTGAACATGAAGGTGGCTGCAGCCAGATAGCTTAGTATAGTACTTCTCTACTTTTTGGGGCAATGAAGAGCTGCTGGGGCCAGAGTGTCTGTTTTGTTCTAAATCTGTCCATGCTGACACAAATAGATGACTACATCAACGTACAATATTTTGCATTGCTAGCTCAATATTTACTGCATACTTAACCATTTTAAATGAAAATGCACAGTGGTGTAGCAGTGCCCCATATTTTACCTTCCCATCAGCTGTGACAGCAAACAAGGTCTGCTCTCCTCCCACTACTTGTATAGGCCTTAGCTGGGCCAGGGCCTCACAGCTAGAGGGCAGCTTGACCTTTGCGCCTTCCACACCTCCTAACTGACCCCTGTGATTGTGGCCCCAGCCCCAGATCTGACCACTTCCTCCCCAGGACAGTGTCCAGTCATCAGGGTGTCTGGAAATGGACATTTAATTTTTTTTAACAAATTGTGTATTACTTCAGTATACTCTTTACTTCCACCATCTTCAAATACCAATATCTAAATCATATCTGTGACACCTTAATAATATCTGAACTATATTATATGAGAGACATACAGTAGGGGAAGATATTTAACATCATGATCTTAGAAACTTTTATCAAGTATTCACATGGGAATATGATAATAATTAAAATTTTCTTACAGTCACTTATCTGAGGAGTGTTAACACCACAATTTCGCCAACAAAATTCTAGTACACACAAGAATATCAGACACACCATCTCCCCACTGTACCTGTTGAGCCACAGCAACAACTGCTCATCCTGCTCTTGCTTGAATATCGCATGGTCCTCATGTCCTCGTATCTTCTCATCGTCTGGCGCTATCTCCATCACCTTTTTGTGCACTTCTTCGCAGAAAGGTTGCGGTAATGCTGTGCGATGCTGTAAGGCCACTGCAACACGTGCTGCCATGCAGTAACGACGAAACCATGACCATTTGTGCATTTCAATGCAACAAGACAGAGTATCTAGGCCAAGGTCACAAGCAAGGGCAACCAGCACCTGAAAAGGTTAGAAGTCAAAATGAAGGTCAACAACTGAATATTATGGGCAATGGAAAAGTAAAGTTAACATAATTTAAACATGATATACTTCATACCCATATAAGAATTATTCTTTAGAGCTAATGCATACTCAGAATAATCCAAGTTTTTAATACACATGTATCTTTTTTAATAAATCAAATATCTCTGAAAAAGACAATAAAAACAGAAGTACTCAAATACAGTGTTGTTTTCGAAAAAATAGGAAATTGTTATGTAACCCATGTAAGAATCAATATAAAATCTGGTAAAAACAAGCAAAATTTTAATGTAATCTCACACATAACATATAAAAAGATTTCAGGTCACATCAGCATTACCTTGAAGAAGGAACTATGCATGAGATGTTTCCCACTCCTGACAATGGGGTCTTCATACTCGTACTGCCTCTGAAGAGCTTCAGGGAGGCCTTTCACCAGGGAGGCCAGAGCCGTTCCACTCAGAGACTGGAGTGAATTTTAAAGTAAATTTTATATGTAAAATGTTAAAGCAGACTGATGCAATGCACACTAATAGTTAGGTATTTCTACTTAAGGGCTTATTTAAACCAGTCATCTTAAAAAAGAACCTCAGACTGACATTTTAAAGTAGTCTTTCTGTTTTGTTCAATTCATGACAAATCTGAAGTAGAATAATAAAGTGAACAATGATCTAAAATATTAGTCATAACACACCTTTTGTATAACATATCTACTATTCTTATTTAACTAGACTACTTCTGGTTTTATGAACCCTGACCCCACTCTCAGCCCCAATGCGTCCAATCTAAAAGTCTCAAATCCAATGCCAAGCAATCCATTATGCGATTTTAACATTTTCTCTCTTGCCTAAATAATTCCACCATGAAAAACAGGGTTATAATTCCAATAATATACTCACTGATTGCCTTGGTTCATCCAAACCATCAGAGAAAGGGCTGCAGGGTGCCTGCATCAAAGTACTGACATTGATCATTGGACCAAAATTTGTTGTCATCAATTCCCTTAGCTTCTGTAAAGCCCACATTCTTTGTCTAGCACCTAAATGGAGAAAACAAGAAATAATATTTAAATGTAGTTATGAAATTTACTGTTGATATGCTATATCAAGTACTAACTTTTAAATAGCAAAACTGTAAAAAGAGATTAATTTCAATATTCTTGAGTGAAACAAAAAGACCTGACAGAAGAGAAGACAATTACCTGTTCAGACTAAAAACTGGAAAATTTCCATTTCTCCTCAAAAAAATTGTACATAATGATAATAAGATTACCTCTCTTCATAAGTAATTCCTTATCCAAGTGGATATTTCAGTTATATAACTTACAATAAATTTGTATCATGGATTGTTCTTGCTAAATATATCTATGAAAATTCATTATACTTGTAGAGTCATACACATCATAAACTATATTTGTGCCAATATAAATAAATGAATATATTAATTAATAAATAAACTGAAAGGTACTTTACCAAGTGAGCTTAATTGAGCACATGCCGCCAGGGCTGCAGCCAGTCTGGTCACAATGGTCTTGTCCATAGAGGCCTCCAGCTTGAGGTCCAGCAGGCAAGTGACCAGGTCAATGGAGGGCCTGGACTCCACCGTGCGGTCAGAAAGGCGCTCAAGGGCAGCAGCAGAGGGCATGATGGGATAGACAGTGAAGCGCCATCCCCAGCCGTTCACAGAGCCATCACTGGTGAACTTCCATCTCAGTTCTTCGCTGTTGATTCTCAACTCCTGAGACCAGTCAGACCACTCCCGTCCTACAGAATAAATAAAAAAATAAATAAATAGATTGATTACCACATATTGAGAGAGAGAGAGAGAGAGAGAGAGAGAGAGAGAGAGAGAGAGAGAGAGAGAGAGAGAGGGAGGGAGAGAGAGAGAGAGAATATGTAAACTGGAATCTGAAATTAACATTTCAAACACTGCCATAATCACAGTTAGACAGACACCAAAACATTGGCTGATTATAACTTTTACAGTAAATAATACATACATATATATATATATTAAAAAACTATCAAATCCTGTATAATTTTTCCAAACACCAAACATGTCAACCACATACCTGATCTGATAGTGACAGTCCTGCCCGAGGCGTCCATGATAGTGAGGGGGTCGTGACGCCTCTCTGTAGAACACTGGCGGTCAAACTCCACTCTCAAAGCTTCAGCACCTACAGATAATATATAGTGTATTATAACCTGTGCAACATTTCATCTAACTGCTTCCCTCTAAAAATATCAGTTATAAGTGAAACGAGTTATCATATATATGCAAGACCCCCCTTCACACACACACACACACACACACACACACACACACACACACACACACACACACACACACACACACACACACACACACACACACACACACACAAACACACGTGCGCAGGAGCAAGCATTAAACAAGGAAATACATTTGGAATGATCTAAGTTGTATATACAACCCTCTGGCACACACCTACACACACAAGCATAGACATATTGTTCATGCAAGCACGCACACACACACTCTATGCACACGCACATACACACGCACATGTACACACGTACACACTGCAAATCACCTGGTATCTTCACATGGCCACTGAGTGAGGTATCATCAGTGTACGGGTGTGAGCTCTCCTGTACTACAGGCTGGGCAGCATTTCGAACTGACTCTCGATCCGCTGCCACGTCCTCCAGTTCAGTCACACACAGTTCCAGCAACATCTCCTGGACTTGTGGGTAAGTCTTCCCCAGAGCCTTCAGCACCCCAGACAGCGCTTCTTTGCCGTGAGCACCAGCACGCCCAGCCACGGCTAGTTTGAGGAGATCGACCAGCATGCGGGCATCGTTAGCGGTCAGTTTGGCCGTGAAGTCGTCAAGGTCAGTGTGGGATGTCGAGTGGTCCGTCTCCTCTGGCTCAGCAACCTGGTGATAGTGGTTGTATGAGATACTGATGATTACGTTTGTAAAATTAAATGATGCAAAAAGAGTAGAATGGTAACAACTGCTATATCTCTTTGGATCTAATTTTCATCACTGCCATGCATTTATTTCATCAAAGTATTTCTAACTCTTATCAATATAATATTTCAGACACATGAAACTGACCCTTTACTAAGATAATATATATAAGTTATTGATATATTAAATATGATAATACATATAAGTTAATATGTTTTTAACAGAGACAAAATTTCATTAAAAACTTACATTACAATCAAACTAAAAAAACATTTTAAGCAATAAGTAATTGTTTCTAAATACTGTCTGGTAATGTAATAATGTGCTATACAAGACTTAAAAACCACATGACTTGCCTCTTCTGTTGAGGTGACAGTCTCAGCCAGTATACTGGTGGTGGGGCTGGCTGCCACTAAAGCATGGAATGATGGGAGGTGCTCTGGCCTTATGGGTGCTATTGCTGCCATCTGCTGGATTGTCTGAAAACAAGTGGAGAGGTCTGTTGAAATCAGAGCCAACTCTGCATGATTCGTCTGATAGAAACTATTTCTTTAGTCTAAGCTGCATGATTAATTTCAATATCTTTTTATCACCACCTTTGACCTAGGATATCAGAGATTAATTATCATTTTTCTTTCGCATGTTCACACCTGTTCAATCTGCATTTTTTCAAGATTAAACAGAAATAATATTGCATATCTTAACAAATATGCTTTCCAAATCTAAGTCCATCCAGTATTCTGTTAATTAATACCTGTAGCTCCTGCTCCCCACTCCCACTGAGACTCCTAGGGCTCTCCACAGGAGTGGCCGACACTGGGGAGATACTGGCCGGGGTGGTCATCTTCCAGTTGTCCAGCCCTGGCACTGCACTGACTGTGTCTGGCTCCTTGGTCAGTGCTCCCACTATAGCACCTCTGAGATAATAATAATATTATTATTGTTATTATAATTGTATTAATAGTAAAAAGAATAATTTAAAAATACAACCAAAAATTAATCATTAAATCGGTTCATTTTTCAAAATGATAGATAATAGGGTTACCAATGAACTAAAAAAAAAACTCATTCAGAGACAGAAGACGTTTATTTTTTGCAATCATAAATGTGTAAATCTACGTCATCTTTTCACAGCCAAACTATCAATTTTTTTGTCAATAATGGATTATGGACCTCTGAAAAAGGACAGTGTTTACTGGAAAACCACCCTTTATATAAAGTTATATAACTGACCTTGCATACATAATCTGCAGTGCAGTTAGAATATGTTTGAGGGCTTGCTGTTTGGAATAGCTGCTTTCTTGGGACAGAATGATCTTGGTCAGAGAGGGCCGGACACTGCTCTTTCCAATGGCGTTGTTAGGGGTGGGTGACACTGGGCTTTCCTCGGAACTACTATCCTCAACACCTGTGAAATAAAAAATCGACTGAAGACTAAAACGTGTTAAACATTCACAGCAACAGGGCTAAGTTTGGCTTATCTTACCATGTTACTTATTAAAAATAATTTCCAATAATTTGAGAAGGAAAAGACATATTTGTCAAAGGCAAAACTACCAAAAAATTTGCAGATGGCATTTGTGACATGTGCTGCCTTGTTCCTTTCAACACAGACTCAGAATAAGTTCAACAGAATGCAAAACAATCAACACAGAATCACACTCACCCACAACAGATGCCCCCAGTGGATCCCTAGGTGTCCCAAACATGACCGGTTCATGTGACGATGGTGCAGACATATCGGTCAGTGTCCAGGCCACACTGTGAGATGACCCACAGGCCACACGCGTGATCTTATACCCCTCCAGTCCATGGACCAGAGCGGGCTTCTTGTTGACTGTTGTGGTGCCATTGCCTTGTTGACCATGGTCATTGTCACCCCAGGCATATACCTGAAATATTGCAGCAATTTTTTATTTCCAAATTTATTTACTGAATGTAATGAAATTATATGAAATTATATTCAGAGCTTGGCTCAAACATATTCTAACTTTTTGGTAACATTTTTCTTATATCTGTTCTATAAAACAGACACACAATGGAAAATAAATCAACTTTATAACCATCATTACCATAACAGTTAACTATCACTATCATTCAATATTTCAGCTCTTTCATATTATGAAATGATGTCTATTTTATAAAAGATGATATGAACAACCAGAAAATGCTAAAAAAACTGGATCACTATGTATTTGGCTATCGTTTTCACTTTATGGATCCAAAGCCATAAAAACCTCCTACCTGTCCTTGATCCTGCACTGCCAGGCAGTGTAAAGCACCCACTGCCACATGTACTATTTTCTTGCCCTTCAGGCCCTCCACCAGCTGGGGTTTTCTCACATGGGCATCTGTGCCATGACCAAGGCGGAAGTAGTCCCCCTTGCCCCTATGGAGTACAATGCAAATAACTTAAAACATTCCACAAGTTTTTGAAGTAAATTACAGAGTGTCTCAATTTACTTTACCTCTGATATCAATACCTTACATGTGATCAATCTATCTCAATCAATTTTTTAAAACAATATGTGGCACCCATTTTTTTTCCTTTCTCCTACACAAGAGTACAAAATGAGCTGTAACTAGAAAGCAACACATAAATATAAATGAAAAGGTTAAAATCCATTAAATGCATGGAATGTGAAATTAAAAATAAATGATAAAAGCAAATTTAGTAAAATTTATGTTCTTATTTTTCTACCCTGTATATATGAGATGGGTAACCTTAACTATCCAATGGCATGCTGATGATGGTTGTTTCCAGTAATCTATAAAACTCAGGGGCAGTTTCCTCTTACCATGTCCAGACCTCTCCTTCCTTGGTCAAAGCCAGTGAGAACTGCGCCCCACACTCTATCTGTATCACCCCCAGTCCTGTCAGTCTCTCAATGATGCGAGGCACGCTGCATCCTTCACTGCCTCCGCGGCCAAGTTTCCCGAAATCTCCATCGCCCCAAGAGTACACATGACCTTCATCAGTCAGCGCTAAGGTCTGGGCGTCTCTGCTTCCACAGGCGACCTGCACCACCCGCTTCCCAGCCAGACCCTTCACCTAGTAATACAGCAACCCAATTTTCAGTTACTAATCTAAGCACCTAAGACAGGTGGTTGTGTAATTGCAGAGCTTTGCTCAAGGCATGTATTACACTGTTAACTTGTCTTTTCGACTAAAGCTGATGTAAAGAAACCTTGGCCCACCACATAGGGCTTCCATACTAAAATAATAGCCATATTACAAAAATACTACTTTCTAGGATTCAAAAAAGGAATAATAAAAAAGAATTTCATCAATTTAAAAACATTCAATATTAATTTACCCTTTCACTACTACATAACAGTGTAATTTTATCACTACAGGGCAAAGGCATACTATCAGGGTAGCACCAACCTGTTTAGGTCTTAGCTGTGTTAAGTTGTCACCATGTCCCAGGCGCCCATACTCCCCAAGGCCCCACGTGTACAGATCTCCATTAGATGAAATGGCCGCACTGTGAGAGCTCCCACATGCGATGTCACGCACACGCTTTGATCTTAAGGCTTCAATCAGCTTAGGTTTATCAGAATTGCTGAAATAGAATCAAGGTTTGAGTTATCTTACAAGGAAAGATTTTTTTCAATAAGGTATGTGCATGTCTCCTGACTCAGGCAGTTATGCAGACAGACACAGGTCATGGCAATTTGTGTATTGAGTACTTGTATATGTGTATGAATGCATTTGTGCAAGCTTGTGCATCTTTCTTCAATCCTAACAGCGGATATTTCAAAAGGAATACTCACAACCTACTGAAGTGTCCCAGCTTTCCATCATCTCCTTCTCCCCATGAAAACACCTTACCATCCACAGTTAGAGCAAGAGCATGCCGACCACCTAATATTAATATTAAACAATCCCTTAAAGTATGGTACACATAACATTTCTTAAAGAATCAAAATATTTTAGGTATCTTAGTATTTTCAATAAATGTATGTTCTACCTCAAAACACACCTGTACAGGAAGATTCTCATCATTAAATTAGTGATTTCTTTATCTTTCTTATTATTTGTTAAATAGAATGAAATAAAAACATTCTAATTTCCTTAAATCAACAGCTTTCCCATGATTTTTCTTTGACAGTTTTCAGAAAGAAATTTTCGATATTGCTTAGCTTTAACTAGAACAAGCTCAGAGAGCAATTTATCCACTCGTCTTTACCTGAATGTACTGCAACTTTTTTGATCACATACTGGCTCAGTGAGACCAGCTGTCTTGGAGTGGAGACATTCCCACTGGTAATACCCAGACCCAGTCTGCCATGTGTGGCTTCCCCACAGGCATACACTTTACCATCCTGAGTTACTGGAATATTATAATACAAGCCACATCAAATACTTTTGCTAAAAAAAAACTCTATCAAAATATTATTATCATCTGCACCTTGGTGTCTGGTTATGAGTACAAATTAGGAGGAAAATGGATTTTTTAATGTTTAATTTGTTATCAAAAAATCATGTTTGGTTATTGATGATTATAAATCATATTATACATATCACATTGTTTTTTGGTGCAAATTTACAAAGTTTTAGTACAATTTTTCTCATGGTCTTAAAACGTTCCATATATTTACTGCACATAATCATAAACAGTCACAGCTAGCACATATCTTACCACAGAAGAGACTCTTGGATCCCCCTGCTATCTGGATACACTTCAGGGAAGAGTTAAACTCATTTAAAGCTGGCATTTTGATCTGAAAAAAAAAAAAAAAAAAATGGAACAGATTAAAAACTGCAATACAAACAAATTTATAACTGTAATTAAAACTGGAACGAAATATCATATGATTTTAATAAAAATAATATCTAATACTTAACTATTCTTTTGATTCTTTTGTTACAGGCAAAGGCTTTTAGATATGGTGTGTTGGGTATAGAAGAATTACAGTAATTAGGATTCCCCATAGGGGAATACTATTGTTTTTGGTAGTATTATAGTTATTATTATTCTTTCCGCGCGTTTTTTTTCGCAAAAAATCTGAAATAATTATCATAGGTAGCCCATGGCAAGAATATGCCACAGACCCAGTTTCAGTGACCTTGACCTACTTTTCAAGGTCACAGGGGCTTTTAAAGGCAAATTTTATGAAATTTGAAATTGCCATTAGGCCTAAAGTATAAGCCATATGGCTAAGGGCCTTATGGTCAATGATACTAAGACAAATCCACAGATAATGACCTACTTTTATGCAAGTAGGTCAAGGTCAAGGTCGCTAATGGCCAAACGGGCTCAAAAAAGGTTTGTTTCCGAGATCTCAAAAACCGGAAGGCAGAGAGCCCTAATCATAGTGGCAAATGATGCCCTATATATTTATCTAAGGTTAGCCGTACATTGGTAGCGATTGCCTAATTACTTTTTTTAATATCGATTTTTAAATATTTATGACATCGCCGAAATCGTGACTTTGGCAATTTCTCCATGAAAGACTGGTTTTTGGTCATAGCATGCTATAGTAAACTACCCCAAACATATACCCAAAACCCCCAAATCAAATGTCAAATTTGACCTTGACCCTCATTTTCAAGGTCATTTGGCTATTTCATGGAGAAATATTGAAGTGGGCTAAAAGTGATGTTTTGTTGCCCCCCCCCCCCCAATTCGCACATGCTCTTTCAGAATATGGGGCTAAATTTAACCCATGACCTTCACATGACCTTGTAAGAGCATTTCCACACCTATTTTGCAGGGGAATCCTCTGCCACTGGCTTCAGCCAGTTGCAGTCTAGTTGTTATTATTGTTATTATTATTATCTGAACTTAATGTATCTTCTGAACTTGCTGCATCTTCATTATAAATATTCAGTAAAATAAATAAGTAGTGCAGAACACAAAACAGTCTCCCACTCACTTTGGATCCTTTAGGCCCTCCAAGCTGGTCCTTATCATTAAGTCCCCACACAAATACATGAGTCTGGATCTCCTTGTTACTGGACAGCTTCACCTTCTTTGTCTGCTGCTGGCTTGTCGTCTGCTCCTCCTCCTCTTCATCCGATTCCAGGAAAGGGAAGTTTCCAGCCATGTCATCCTCTTCGGCTCTCATCCTCCCTGAGATGGAGAGACCGTGAATCTTACAATCGATGCCACTGCTGCGGCACTGCTTAATGGAGAGTTCAATGAATCTGAAATACTGCAATAAAATTGAGATTTAATTTAGTAAAAGAATCTGTTGGAGTAAAGAATTTACAACTTCCAAGGGATTTTAATATAATGTAATAAAATAAAAAATATCCTTTACAGAAATTTTACAATGAATGGTGATATTCACATTCCTACCTAAAACCATTACATAAACCATTGGGAATTTTTTTTCTTTTTTTTGTACAATTGTCGAATTTGCTCAATAAATCGCCTATTTATCTAACTTAAATCAATGACATCAAATGGAAAAAGAAAATACCATTTTTGCAGCTCAGATGCTAAAGCTGCACAGTCAAAATCTAACGGCACTTAATAAAAACAAAATAAAAACACTGGTGTCATTCTCAAAACACCATCCAGTCTATGGTCATTCTTAACTGACCACCGACCCTGACTCACCTCTGCCATGTCCTGCAGCAGGACAACAGTAGTGTCCATCTGTCCCACATGTATTGTCCTTATCTCTTTCATAGAGTGGACAGTGTCCCCAGCACTGACCACCACCAGACTGGGCATGTAGCTGGAGTCTGACGGCTCCACTCGCATGGTCAGTTTGGTGATGATCAGGTCTGGCTGCATCTCTAGCTTGATCCAGTGCTGAAAATGTCAAAAACAAAGAAAATAGCAGCTCTGTTGAGAAAATACCTATAAGTGAATGCTATAAGGAGAATTCCTTTTTTAAGCAGAATGAGTATTAGGTTTTTTCCCAATTTTTATATTCAATATCTCTCATTGGGCTTAAAAGCAGCAGCTGTCTAATTTCAGTAGTGACCTCCTTTTCCTTCCTGTACCTTGCCCTGAGAGCCTGAACTTTGCCAACAGCTATTGGTAGAATTCGAGTTCCCTTTTTTTAACCAGTATGAGGTTTCTGATTTTAGTTTTGGTAATTCACTATTTTTCCTAATTTTTAAATTTAATATGTTTCATTAGGCTTAAAAGCAGCTGCTTTCCCACTTATGTCTTTCTGTCTGTCTAATTCTCAGTAGTGGCCTCCTTTTTCTCCCCATACCTTGCCCTGAGAGCCTGAACTTTGCCAGCAGCCGCCAGAGCCATCTATCAGTCTGTGCGCCTGGTTTTCTCTTGACGATACTGTCAGGTACTTGACACACCTGTGCCAGTCATCGATGTACGAGTCGGATGTGCCGCCCCCAATGATGTTAGAGTCATTAAACCTACTGCGGTAACGACTGGGTTTGCCAGCATAGATTGCAGGGCCACCTATGGACATATATCAAAATATATGTGTTAATATATGTATATGTGTTAAAAACAATCTTTTTATAGGTTTTGTTTTTTTTTAAATCAGTACAGACTTCTCTTCAGTAGGGACTTCAATCTCCAAGTTTCAACCAAGTTTCAACAGAGACACTGTTCAGCTAAATGATATATTAACTATTCTACTCTGATTTACTGACATATATAACCCAAAAGACTTACCCATATATATTATCCATATTTACCCAAAATAAAAGACATGGCATTTTTTCTTGCTTGTCTAGTCTGGATGTTTATACTCAAATTACAATTACAACCTATTATTTTTTGTTTCATACCTGGGTCTGCAATCCTGTTGAAGGCATGCCTGTGGCTGCGCTTACTTCTGAAACAGTTCTCACAGAAATCAAAGTCATAGCATGTTTTACACTTGTACCTCGGCCCCATGATGGGAAACTGACCACAGCCATCACATCTGCAATGATAATATATGAAAATAAATTAACTTTCATAATAATGTTATATCATATTCTTATTTCAATCTTTTGCCACAATTTACTTCTACTTTATAAACAGATAGAGGTAGTATACATATTTTTCTACATACTGCACTTGGCTTTCAACACTCAATATTTTATTTGATTTAGAATAAAATCATATAAAATATTAACCAGTTAAAATACTTTGATAACGTTCTACATCCCTGATTCAGAAATATCTTTAAAAATCATTGCAACAATAATTTTACAGGGATTCATTTGATATAGTCACACAACATATACCAATATAAAAACATAGCCCTTTGCAGTCTTTGAGTGATAACAGAGCTTCACATCCAATGATGCTCATCATGAGGATGTGGCATTCCCAAGCAAAAAACCAAACTGCCACAAGTGCTTATGCTTCTGGCATGTTAAGTTTAGGACTTACGTGACACCAGGATGTGCACTTGGCACCAGTTCCATCTCCGCCATAAGTCCTGTCCAGTGACTTTGCTGCGGAAAGTCTACTGTTACGTCTTTACCACTAGCACTAATAGCTGAAAAGGTTTTTTTTAATATTAATTTTCTGTCATTGCCTAAATGTAAATCAAAATGAAACTAAAATTTAATATCAAAACACCACTGTATAGTCATAGTGATAGTCCAAAATGGAATCAAGAAAATTTGTTGATATATCTTTCATATCAAAATATTATGGCAGATTCCCAGTAACGTAACCTGTGACAACCCTTATTATGAACATTTAAAAAAACTTTGTTAATACATTTGTAACATCAAAATACTATGGCAGATTCCCAGTAGCCCTACCTGTGACAACTAATATACTGAACTTTTCAAGAAACTTTGTCAATATATCTGTAATACCAAATTGCTATGACACATTTCCCAGTCACCCTACCTGTGACAACTCCTATACTGTTATGTGTGACAGAACCCCATCTATACTTTGGTGTTGTCACGCTCCTCTTGACTCGGACTCTGTCCCCAACCTTGATGTTCTGTTGTTGTGTGGCTGTGGGCAGTGCTACTGCTGTTGATGATCCTGTTGTCACTGCTGGTACTGAAAAAAACATCCAATTTATGGAATAAATATCAGGAATAATCAGACCATGCTCATTTATGGATTTGAACAACGTTGTAGACCAAGAGTAACCTAAGTCAGAGAGTTTGAAGTGATATGACAAGATTGCTTTCCTGTCATTTGCAGAAATTTGTTTCTGTTCCAACAAAGCAAAGGGTGGATACAATAGTATTACTCTACTTTGTTAGATTCAACATTGCTAATTGACATGTAGTGTAATAGCGTTAAAACTGCTAAGCAAAATGTTGTCTCTTGGCCCCCCCCCCCAAAAAAAAAACTTATCAACCAGTTATTCACAGAGAACATAATATTTTATGTAGCTAAATCACATAATTACTTTGCACAATCAAAAATCATTCCTACAAATTCCCTTATATCAAAGTTTGCCATAAGCCGAGGTGACTTAAACGAAATATAATATATCAATTTGTTTAACAAATTGTCTTTTCAAAAGTAAATGCATTCTTTTATCTTAATTGAACAGCAAATATCAGTACTAAAAATAAATCCCTGCCAGAAAAGTGGTCCCCAAAGATGACTTACTCTGTTGCCCAGGAGGTATGAATCCCAGCAGTTCTACATGGATGTACCTGACCCAGTAGAGACCTCCCTTCCTGGGCCATTCTGCCTGGATGTTCAGGTCATGAAGACCATCACTGTCAAGCTGGAAAGTTAATAATTCGGTTATATTAATTAATCCATCTGTATCAGTGTCTGAACAATTTTCTCAATGACCATGTACACCCCCCCCCCAAAATAAATAAATAAACAGATAAAGGAACAGTGTAAACAGACTAATGTAAAATCAGCATGTGAGCTTTCTTTTTCTTTTAACTCTTATGTAAACAAACAGTAACAACAGGAGAAGCATAGACGGACAAAAACTTGAATGTAAACATGTAACATTATAAGCTGAATAAATTATTATTATTATTATCAGCATTATCATTATCATATCAATACAAATAATTTAAGATATGTTATGGCATTAGCAGGTCTAGCTCCATGCCTAATTTCAAATAAGCTTATTAAGTTAAACCTTAAATCAAATGAGGACAATTCATACTTGTCATCTAGGACTTAAGTATTCAACATGTTTCAAGTAATTTCCTTTACTACCTACAGACAACTATCTGCTGAACTTCATACTTGCCTTCATAACTTTCCCAATATCTCCTTCATGCACTTCTTCGTATGTCCTGCAGCACCTGACCATCATGCCCACTTGGATGTGATCACTGAGATAGATGGCGTACTCGTCATTGTTAGCAAACTCTGATCTGCGTTTGTATGGCGTGGCAGGCAATGGGGGCTCTATGGCAACTGCCTGAAAGTAAATAGGTTATAAACAGGACATAAAGATTGCTATTTACACGTTCATTACTTGCCTATGACTAAATTTCTCTAATTTAAAGATATGAGATATTAGGTTCCAAATATATTCCTACATATATCTGGAATCTCATATCTTATCTAAGGTACCAAATATATTGCTACATATTTTCACAATATAGTATATTTTGATTTTTCCACATTCTTTAATTTAAAGAAGTTATTCATGGTGCTTATTGAAATGACTAAGAAACAAAAATTAAAAATCCTAAAATTTGAGAATCCTTTCAAAAGCAAATTTTTGTTTTGATTTTGAATTACAGACATGTAGATAATAATTTGCTCACAAGTTCAAAGTTCAAGAAACTACGATGTTCAATAATGCCTTAGCTCCCCTGACAATAGTCCTGTCACTAACACAGAAATCTAACCAATCAAACTCTCTGTCTTATCTATTCCTACCTCAGCATATCCACCATCCAGGTCCTCCAGCTCATCAGACATGGACTCAGAATCAGAACACAGGTCTACAGAGGAGTCGGAGTCACTGGAGGAGGAGGGGGGCTGGACATCATGGTGTTCTAGTAACCAGCCCACCAAGGTCTCTGCACTGGGGGTGTCTGCACCTGGGGCACAGGCCCCTTCTGGATATCACAGTGAAATAATGATTTCGGTTATATGACACACTTATGATATTAGTTCTTAACTACTTTACTAGAGCATTGATAATCAACATAAACTCACTGAAGAATTCAACATCATAGGAAAGAGCATATTTTTCAACTTCTTGGCAGAAGTGTCATTAATTATTAATATAAATTATACAAGCAGAAAGTTAATCTTATTCTTATTTCTTTCCAGATTAATTACAATTTAACATGATAGAAAATGCTTCCTAATAATATTATATTACTTGAGATGCAAAAATGCAAACCTAGAGCTTTCAATGCCATCTCCACCCTTTTCCTTAAGAACCCCATCTCCATCAACTGAGCCACAACGGGCACAGGAGGAGGCCTAGGCCGCTTTATACGCTTAGGTTTCTGCAACCTAGCAACAATCTGAGATTCCTGGGGCTTTTGAGTAAACTTTGGCGCCTGCGGGGCAGGCTCGTTGTTTGCTTTGGTGTTGCTGTCAAGAACCGAGGCAGGCGCAGCCGCACCAAGGTCGCTGAGGTGTGAACTGGCCATAAGGGAGTCTTGGCTCTGACTGCTGTATGGATTGTTGGCCTGAGCCGTCAAGTGTTGACAAACTGCCAAGGCTGCAGCCTGAAATAAAAAACCAGTGAACTTATGACAAACATGCTATAATATTATTATTGTTAATATTACACCAGAACACATTTTCATTTCCAGAAAAATCTAAATGTAGAATAAAGCAATGCAAGATTATAAAGTTTAGATGGATGAACAAAACCCACTTCTAATTCCTGTCTTGAAAAGACAGCCTTGACTTGCGAGGGTTGGGTGGCTGCCAACATAAGCTGCTGCATCAGAAACTTGGGACCAGACTCAATCTCTGGACTAGTGTCTTCTTGGCCACCAGTATCAGTGCTGCCATCTACATCTGAAGTGGCTTGAACAGATACACTGTCTACAGGAATGGGTTGGAGAAGGATCTTGCGTAGGTTCTCTTGCTTGCTGAAAAGAGCTATTGCAGCTTTCAGAAGTCCAAGTTTCAGCTGTTGAATTTGAAGGAGTTTTAGCTGCACCATGTCTGTAAAAGATAGGTAAAGTAAAAACTAACAAAATAATAAAAAAGACATACAAAAAATTAACTTCTTTAATCATAATATCATACATTGAAACTTCTTTGTTATTATTTATTATAAAATGTTCATGACTCTTTAATAACATGTTTGCTGTTTACCTATAAATTCCTCCAATCATATTAAAAAAATCTGTAAGTTTCTCATTCAGCAAATTGTTTTCAAATAAAATTGTATTCAAAATTTAAAGTAAGGGGATGTTGAACAGATCTGCAAGGAAAATGTTAAAAGTGAAGTAGTTTTAGGTGATGGAGGTCAACCAAAACTGACCAGAAGTAGATGCCCCCTCTGCTGGCCCAGTTGATGCCTGCAAACTGGTCATGTGGTCCTTTTCCCTAGTGGTGGACATTATGGTGACCAGTTTGGTCCATATCTGTAACAGACTGTCTGTGAGGGGCAACTGGTCAACCAGAAAACGACTGGACTTTATCTGAAGTAAAAAAAGGTTGTTCAAATTTATTAGATGTCTTGTGCAAAAAGATAAGGCAAGTTACTTCTAAACATTCACTTTATAAGTTGTTTACTTGAAAATTGCCTTAAATGTTAATATTTTAATCTGTTTGTCTATTCTTTTTTTTTTTTTTTGTTTGTTTGTTTTTTCAAAGTTTACGATGATATTCATTAGGAACAACAGATCAGAAAATTACAGTTACTGCATTGACAACATTTTCTTTCTCTATGCCAAATGCCAAACACGCCACAAAAGATTCTTTTTATCTAGACTTTTCCAACAGCATTATAATGGACCAATATTGAAATTTCACAAAACATAGCAGAATATTTCACTTACTGGTTTAATCTCAGAAAGTTTAAACGTCCTGATCTCCTTGTTGTCATGGAACTGTAGAGTCACCTTCCCTCTGACATGTATTCTGGACACAGTAGCTAACCCACACTCCTCATAGGTGGCCAGTCCTCCCAGACGCACACGGTCATCCACCCCGCCTATCACAGCCAAGACGGCTAAGATGGACTTGTACACACTACTGGCTGTGGTATCCTGTGAACAAAAACAGACCATGATTTGAAGAGTTAAAATTCACATTCCTTCCCTCAGCCCAAATATCTAAAATGCACATCATATCAAAATAGGTTACTTGTTAATCTTATGTTTCAATTTACTTTCTTATCATCATTCAGTCTTATTTTCAATTTTCACCATAATATTTCAATACACCAAAGTATACAAGTTAACAAAATTCCAATGCTATATCTAACCAAGCATCTAGTTGTGTAAAAACTGCCTAAATTTACAATTGCATTTACAATGTAATATGTATTAAGTACTTATAAATCTGAAAAAGAATAAAAAATTAATAGTATTAATTAAGGGAACAATTCCAAGTTTCCCCTCACCTGTTTCCCAGTGAGCAATTCAGCAACAGTGCCTAACTGGTCGCATAAAAACTTATTGATGTGAGGGTTCCAGGCATCATGGCCATGCAGACAGCGTAGAAGACTCACCACCTCCTCGGCTATTGTACTGGAGTAGGAGGCCGTCAGAGAAACGGGGGCCTTTATCTTTTTACTGGCCTTGGAATAAGAATCTGTGGAAGGAATAATGAAAAGAGAAAAAAAAAAAACACATGAAAAAAGATTTAAGTTCAGAAGAGAAACNCAGACGCAGATGATGGCTATATGTACAGACACATCTGTGTCTGTACATAAAAATGAATGCTTCCAGGGGAATATGTCAGGGGCGGATCCAGAGCTATTTTCTGACAGTCTTCCAAATTATCTTTATTGATCAATCCTCCAATTTTGACCATCTTCCAACAGAAAAAATTACATACCTATCTATGTAAACCTGAAAATCTGACCATCTTCTGGAAGACCCAGAAGACGGCCTAAATCCGCCCCTGTATGTGGATGGACAATTTCAATGGAACTAAAAAATTTACAATCGCCCCAAAAAAGGAAGCACAGTATTTTCTGAGCAAAAATGATGCAAAGTTTTATCAATAAATCCGAATCATACCAGGGCAGTTGACACGGACTTTAACCTAAGAATCAAAAGTAAATCTTCAATATCTCCGCTACTACTAAGGTATAACTGTACAAATGCCTCAAAATACTTACTCAGAATTTCTCGTAAAATAGTCTTTTCTTAATATATCAAATATCTAATATTTTCTTAAAGTATTCTGGTACATACCCTGTGTAGTGAGGGTTGGATCTGAATCACAGGTCATCAAAACATGTCCCAAAAGACTAAACAGTCTGCTGATGACTTCTGTCATCTTGGACCTGTCCACTCCACTGTCCCAGGCCGGCAGCACTCTTCTCAGCAAACGTAGTGTTAAAATCTGGAATTTCAGCACAATAAATGTGTATTGTTTGCATTTCCACACAAGGTGTGTAACATGACAACACTTGAAAAATGGCATTTTATAGTTTACAACTTAGCAATATAATATAATAATGAAATCACAACAAAGGGACATAGTTAATCAGACCACAATCTTGTTTTAATATTTTGTACCTTACCCAAAGTTCAACACCTAATTAAAAATACTTCCATGTATGTACCATTTCTACACTTATGTATACCATTCCTTTAAATGTATTTCTAAACATGAAATGTATGTCAAGAAATTTGTAGTGTTACATACATCATCCCAACTGGAGGCCTAAACACCTTCCTAAAGAAGATAATCATGAAAAGACTGTCAGACATCCAGTTGTGACTATACAACACCACACACCTGTCTAGGCAAATTCCTCGGCTCAGAGGGGTCCTGGTCTTCAGTGAGTATTCTAATCAGAAGTTGGATCCAGGGGTGCGTACTGAGGGCCTTACACAGACTGGGACTGTGAGCCAGACTGGAGATAAAGCCCAGGCTGCCCCAGCTGTAGTACTGCTCTCTGGCAATTAGTATCTGGGTGGAGTTAGTGTCTGGAATTTAGATAACAAGATATTAAAAATTTTGTGACTGTAAATGAATCAGATGATGTTCATTGACCAAACTATGCTGATTCAAAATTTGTCTTTAAATCTGGAGATACTTGTAAAAAAAATAATTTTTAAAAAACTTCCAATATTTCATTAAGTCATAACTTAAACAGATGTCAATCAAATTTTTTTAGTAATAATATCAATAAATCATTTAAATTAGGGAAAAATGATGTGGGACTGATATCTTGTTGAAGACAGCCAGTTTTTAATCCATTTTCAAAACCTTCAAATGTAATATCTTAAACCTGGCATAAATCTTCAACTTCCATAACAGTGATTTTCCAAAAGTTATAAACTGCTCTGACAGTAAATATAATATAACATCATCAATCCACAGCTTACTGAGCCCAGTTTTTAATCCATTTTCAAAACCTTTAAATGTAATATCTTAAACCTGGTATAGATCTTCAACTTCCATAATTGATTTCCCAAAAGAAATAAACTGCTCTGACAGTAAATATAATATAACATCATCAATCCACAGCTTACTGAGCCCACTGTTACACCCGGCCTCCACAATATTTCTGACCAGTCCACACAGTGTACAGATGGCCTCCTCCTGGACCTGCTCCGCATGGACGCTGGTCATTATGGCCACACTCTTCAGGAGCTGTGTGGTCACACAACGGAGCAGGGCAGTGGGGTGTTTACGCTCTCTTCTCTCATTATCTGCTACTGTATTATGTAATAAATGAATACATAAAATTGCATAAATAAAGATATAAAATTTGGTATTAATATAAAGGTATGTTTTAATCTATGCTGAAAGCCAACTAGCTTACTATATGAATGTTTCTTTTAATAATATTTCAATTAACAATTCTGTCATTGTTGGGAAAACACTTAGGAAGTGTAAATTACTAGCTGGACATGAACAGTTCCAAGTGAAAAACTAGGCAAGGTTACCAAAAATATAAACACCATTAACAGAAATCCTGAAAAAATTTTGTAAGAGGTCCTGAAGTAAACAAAACCTACCAACATCATCATCTTCTTCCTCATCCTCTTCAGTGGACATCTGTGGAGGCTCAGCCAGCTTCAGATCATACTTCCCTTCCTTCCCCATTCTGTAGGAATTAGTACTGCCAGTGTCCCACTGGACTCTGATCCAGCCATCTTCTCCAAGCTCTCCTATCACACGCCCAAGACTGGGAGGGGGCCCATCCTGGCAAGAGAAAAATGGTCCATAGATGTCAGCAGAGGACTTTTCCAAGATGATCTGCTCCATGGTTAAGAGTAGCTTAGAATGAATCCATTCTGTCTGTTTCAAAGTAATCTTACATCTCATCCAACACTTCTGCACTTTGACAAGTTTACTTTTTAGTTTATACCAAGATCAACCATACATAGACTTGAAATATAAAGTAAAGTGTGTTAATAAATCTGTGCTTAGCTTTTTGTGCCCCCTCCCCCATAAAAAAAGAAGTCAGCAGAGGGAGCATCACTCAAGATGAGCTGGTTACCTGATCTCCCCACTTCCAGTCCACTCCTCGCATCACCCTGGTGCCTACTTTCATCATGGCCGCCAGCTCTGGTCCAGACAGAGGCACCGGCTGGGTACGCTTCTGTTTCTGGGACTCCTCCAGCACAGCACACAGAGAGTTACAGCTCTGCTGGGGTATGGTCTCCAGATCTGGGCCTGGGAGAATACAGACCATCATTTTAAGAACATATTACAAGTTATTCAGGAAACTGTTCTATGGTGAAAATGGGATAAATACTATGAAATAGGGATAATAATAATAATAATAATTACTCGCAAAGTAAAACAAAATACAGTTGAAATCTCCAGTCCTCACCTGCCAGTCTAAGTAAGCTCTGTGTCAGAGCCAGGAGACCAGAGTTGATAAGCATGCTGATACCATTAGCCTGATGCTCTGTGAGAAGTAAGCTGAGAGTTGCCAACAGAAACCTGGCTACTGGTAGGACACCAAGACTTATATCCTCCTAGGAAGGAAAATATCACAATTTGTAATTATTTATTTATTAATTTATTTTTGAATATCAAGGAAATAAATCCAATGAAGGGATGCCACACATGCTTACACCCAAATAGCAAAACCCAAGCTTTCAAGCACATCCTTCTCAAAGTTTTCATCTACTGGCTTTTTAAAAAAATTTTTTCATACTATTAAACAACATTTACAAGTGGAAAGGAGTTTGTTCATGCAGTTTATAGCACCAATTTTCAAGCGACTTTTTACTGAGATTTTTATATTTTGCTACAAAGAGTGATGCGCACATTGAATAAAAAGTTTATGTGATAATTATAAATGAAAAAAAAAATTGACAAAACTTAAAAAGATCAAATACAGACAAGATACAGATGCGAAGTGAAAAGAAAGCACATCTAGGAAACAACAGATAGCCCAACGTACCACACAAACCTTGCTATTATCCTGGGTATGAGAGGCAGGCAGGCTGTGTGCCTTGAAGAACATATCAGCCTCTATGATACAACTCCTCAAGGTCTTCACCACCCACTTGTTCAGCTCTGAGAACATCATTTCCAGGAGGATTCTATCACAGGGCGGGATCAGGTTCACGTTGGAGAGGCAGTTGATGCTGCTGTCACTATGTGAGAACAAGGCAGCAAAGCTGTCAAATGTACAGACAAAAAACAGAAAAAAAAGATGCAATATAGGTCATTTTGTCAATTTTGATGCAATAATATATGCTTATAATAGCACAGTCAGTCAACACTGATTTTTAATCATGCACAACAGGTAACATGGTCAATAACAGGAGCAGATCCAGAGATATTTTCTGACAGTATTCCAAAGTATCTTTGTTGATCCATCCTCCATTTTGATGGTCTTCCAACAGAAACCCGTAAATATAAACTTTAAAATCTGACTGTCTTCCAGGAGACCCAGAAAATGGTCTCAATCAATCCCCTTCAATAAGATTACAGTTTCAGGACCATGAGAGTTAAAATTCACATGATGAAAGTCCCAATATATGAAAAATGATGACAGTGCATAAAATAATATTACAGCGTGTTTAAAGATATAAATACCAATACAACTTCTTATGTGGAAATACTGAAAATGTGCAGAGCCTCAGGTGGATGGGATTAAAAATCACATCTTAAAAATGCCAGTGTTGGAGAAAAAATTAAAAAGAAAACAACAAAAATATAATTCCAATGAAGCTGCTATTCACTGCTTCCTTATTATGGACACTATGTTATCTAGCAGAGAGCTTAACCTTTGGGAGTTTACAGGGAAATATCAACAAGTGTGCTTTATGAAATTTCATTTAATGGCCGCTTAATTAGGCAAATGAGTTTATAGCACTGAAATTAGCCTAGTGAATACCCAAGGGGAATTTACAGACTGACCACACAAATTTGTCTATCAAAGGTCTTCAGGCCCATAAGTCACACCTTAAGAAAAGCAGAAAACAATAATGCACAAAATAAAACANCAGTAAAAGTGCACGGCGACGACGGCAACGACGGCGACGGCGACGACAGACGCAGGTGATGGCTATATGTACAGACACATCTGTCTGTACATAAAAAGTGAAAAATTATTGAGATGTATTAATAGTATCCATGTGCTACTTTACGAGGTAAACCTGTTGACATTCACAAACAAACACAAACAATCCCTTTAAAATACATTCTGTAACAGTTGAGCAAGGCAAATTCTCATTAAGAAACAACTTCCATCTGAACATATTACAAAAAAGTAATCTTACTAAAAAGAAAGAAATAATAACACAAACATTAACAACAACAAAAACAATAATAATAATAATGATAATAATAAAGCAATTAAACATATTTACATAGCTGTTTTTAAAAGTGACTATTATAAAAACCAGTACCTGCACTTCCTCTCTGCTGCAATGCTGCCCTGCCATCCACACAGTATGTTATACTTGACTGAAGGGATCAGGAAGTCCTTGTGGACCAAGGTCAGCATGTTTTGGATGCCAGTCAGTCTGGACTCGGCTCTCTCAACCTACGAGAATACACCAAGACTCTCAAACTCACTATGCAAAAAAGTGCCACTTGAGAAAAGAAAACCAAAGAAGTTAATAGATCCTTATTTGCTCAACAATTTAGATTGGTATACATTAATAATTTAATGGAAAACTGTTCAAATTTTGAAGTTTTTTCTTGCTGCTTAACATTCTCTTTGTGTGTGCAAACTAAATTAATTTTGTTCTGAACAGAGTTCAGGGTGATTATTTGTTACCTGATGGTGGAGCGATGTCCTCAACATCTCAATATCAATAGGGTCCTCATAGAGGACAAACTCTACAATCCTGGTCATAAGAGTAGGGTGGACAATACTGCCCGTCAGCCTCTGCTTCAGCCACATACGCTCTCTGTGACTGGACACAGCATAGTACACCAAGTCCCAGAGTTCCTGGTGGATAAGTATCAAAAGATTCAATTTGAATATATTAAATTATAATAGCATTACAGAATTTGATCACTGGGCATTCATGGAGTCATATTCAAACATGTAAAGATCCTTTAATGATTTGACAAAAATATTAAATCTACTCCTACTGAATCTTGCAGTACAGCTAAATACTACTTTCTCAGAACAAATCAATATAATATCAAATCAAACGCGTAACCACATATTATCTTACATTCACTCTTCTCTTCCTGGGTGTATCTTTTGATTCCATCACCTGACCTATGGGCTCTTCAATCTTGACCTCATGAACTTTGACCCCCTGACATTTGACACTTGAAGGTTGACCTTTACTCGAGTTGACCTCCCACATGTCCTTGACCTCCAGTTTCAGGTCCTCCTCTTTGATGACCAGCGTGACGTCCTCAGGATGAACTGGACTGGAGTTGTCCGCACTTCCTGAGGCCTGTGGCTGTGGGGGAGAGGGCGGACTGGCCACTAATATGAAAATTACAAATAAATTAAAATGAACATGAACTTGAAAATGTACACACACAACTAAATGTTGCTTCAGTTGTATCCATGATCTTTACAAATTAAAACATTCGATTTCTTATTTTGTCCATGATAACAACCTTATTTGCCTCAAATTTTCTGCAATACTGCTTTTAAAGCAATGTCTGAAATTTTACTAATAAAACTATGTTTGAATAGAAAACAACACTGAAGAAAAAATCCATACCAAAATCCAAATCAAAATATGAAATGATTTCTCTAACACTCTAAGGGCCAACTCTATCAAATGAGAAAAGTTATATGTACTTCAACATAAGTCTTACATTTCACTTTCCTCTTTTCCGCAATCATCCTCTTGGTCACCTCCACCCAACGTGGTTTACTTTTCAGCATCTTGGATTTCTCCATCGTGTGAACCTCGTTCCCCATGGCAGGACGCAGCTCATTGAACAGGAACATGCAGCGCTCGATCACAGGTGCACACACCTCCTTGTATGAACGACTGAGATCTTGATGAATCTGAAAAAAGAAGTGTCAGACTCATGTAATCACTCCACTTAAAGCTGACTGCAATTGAGTATTAACCCCCAAATGACAATGAATAAATCATTAATCTTAATTACTTTTTTAACCACATGATCATAAGGTGAAATTTTCGAAAATATTGATTATTACATCTATATGTAGCTTTCCACATTTTCTCTAAATTTACAAAACAAAAAAATTGTTCTAACACTTTCAATTGATAAAACAATAAGGAACTGCATTTATCTAGCTTTAACCAAGCTTTATTTGACAGCGCATGTACCACATAAAGCCAGTATACTCACCTTGATGAGAGATCTTTTGACTTGAAACACAGTTTTGCAGACCTCGGCTATGGACCTTGGGAGTCCAAACTTGTTCCCAGACTCACTCAGCCCATGTTCTACCAGCCCCAGGGCCACATGCCCTAGGTCATGATGCTTTAACAGCACTGCCATCAAACGTCTAAAAGAATGTATACATCAGAAGTGGGATTAATAGGAATGAGACTATCATTTAGTTAAAAAGTTGGAAAATATGGCATGGGGTCCAGGTGCCTCCTAGGTCAATAATACTTTTGGCTCCCAAAAAGTCAGAAATCTAATGATAGTATGTAAAAAATCTCATCCCTGGATTAAAAGTAACTAAAACACAAAATAATTTGAACTTGAACATGGACCCAAACCATTTAATAAAAATATTCTGAAAGGGAGGACATTTTAAGCCAATCTCATTTTCAAAAGTTAATCAGACACCTTCTTCCCATACAAATACTTTAAAAATAAAAATCATATCTTGCCTGGCAACTTCCTCCACAGGATGATCATTGGGAAACTCAATGGGCATGACAAGATGGTGGTGCTTGGCATAGCGACTAACATAACCCATGAAGGACTGGACAGTGTGCTCCTGTAGACCTCCATCAGCCAATGCCTGCAGAAAGGGCTTCGATGCATCAGCCAGGGAATCCTGGTGCTCTAATAGCTGCTGTTTTTCATTGAGGGAAGCATGGAGCTGTTTCTGTTCTGATGTTGGGGTGTGGCCTAAAAGGAAAATTTGGGGTCATATACAACTCTGTCAATTTATTTTTCTTGACACAGATAGCCACACAATGTTATTATGACAAGTCCTATTACAGTAAAAAATTACAGCTATGACTGAATGTTACACGTTTGCTATCATTGAGAATGTTAGAATGAATACCAAAGAAAAAGTACATATACTTGCCTGCCTTTTAATGCCAGACCCGCTACATACAGTGTTACCAACAATATGTTCTTGGTGTAATACATACAGCGTTCTTTAAAATTTAAAGTATTCCATGAAAGCAGCAGTAAAACTTTATTAAAATGTTGTAAAACAATTCAACTTTTAAGTAGTTTTCAAAGGTCTGCTTGCCCAGGTGCCCAGTACTAACCAGGAGTAGTGGTGCAGGAACTGGGTGTCCTACTTTCTCCCTTCTCCTCATCAAATGGATTCTGTGGCTGCAGCACCTGTAATCCTCCAGCAAAAAACTCCGACTCCAGCCACTGCTTACTCTCCTCCTCTTGTGCAGACAGGCGAGTGCCTCGCGCCAGACTTGACGCATGGAGTCCAAGTAAAAGTCCCAGTGTCCTCTCTGTGTCCATCAGGGGAGAAGAAACTGCATTGCTGGGTGTTGATTGGATGAGATCATGTTCAGGCTGCAGAGAAAAAAGTTGGTATTTCAAAAATCCTATGAACCACTTTGTTTTTCTTTTTTTTTATGTATAAAGACATTTGTAAACTTTCTTCATATTCAGATAACTTGTGTCCCTCAGACTAAATATCTAAATTCTGTCTACTTTAGAAAATGTTCCCAGTATCCAATTTTAGACAGCTTCTTGATATCATAACTAAGGCAATCAAGTCCTTATTTCAACTCAATGCATTTAATTTCTTACATTTTCAACTTACATCTATATACTGTCCCACAAAAAAGGTTTCCATCATTTCACGAGCAGATTCTGAAAAAATGAAAATTCAAGTTTAACACTTTCTTATTTCACTTGTATATGTATGAATTTTATATCAAAATTAGTAACTACAAACAACCTTGAATGTGCACGTGCACACACACACACACACACACACACACTACAAAAAATTCAAACAATTTCATAATCTCCTTGATACTTTTCGGAAGACGTGAAATTGAATCTCTTTGGTGAGATCATTTCTATTACTGCAACGTACAAAGTACTGAGAGTGTGGTTGCTTCCACGAAAATTTGATCTTTTTAGTAAACTCCTCAATAACAATTGATAGATATGAAAAAGAAGCTCCTTGGTGGAAAGCACATTCATACCTGCATACTGCATCAGAATCTCCTCTCCACACTGTGCCTGAGCCTTAAAGTCCTGGACATCATAGACTTTGCCATGGATCACAATCCACAGGCCGCCATCTTTATTGTGGTTTTCTAAATCAGATTTTCTAACTACAGGAACATCCTCTAGGTGGTGCTGTATCTGTTTTTCCACAGAAGTGGCTAAAAAGGAGAACATATTTTTCTTACAAAAAATCTAGAGAATCTACAAGATATTTCAATGAGCTTCCTTGCTTAAATCCATTTTAATGTATACTTTGGCTTTTGTGGGATTTCTTTACATTGTCATGTTACTGTTTTTATTTTATACATGCTTTAGACAGCATGAAAACACTTATACCATTATCCCAAAGTCACCTCTTCAAAGTCAGATTTTCCATTTCAGCAGCCTAAACAAATCCCAAAAATTCCGACTTGTGTATTAAGCACTAAATCTTACCCATTATTCCAGGCCATGCCATATCCTCCTTGTCATCTTTCTCTAAACCAGGAGCCAGCCTGTTAAATTTGTCTAGTATGGGCAGGAGTGCCTCTAGCAGTGGGATACAACCTGAAGCCTTGATCACTGCTGGGGAGATTGTCTGGAGTAACACTGCACTGGTGATTAGCTCTGGCAAAAGCACACCTGGAGGAAAGTGGTGATAATCATTATACTTTGCAAGCCAAAGCACATTAAAGTGTACGGGCAATCTGGGCAACCAGGGTCTAAGAATACACTGCCCAAAAAGTATTTTACTGGCCTGGCTACAATAAACTGATATTTGACATAAGGCCAGTGTTAATGTTGCTGTCTTGCTTACTTAATACAGATTTGAGGATAATGAATCATCGCAAAGATCCAATTTTTTCACACATTTTTTATGAAAAACTTTATCAAAGAAGCTGCTGATTCACATAAAGAAAAACCTTGGTTTGAAGGTTTTGTAAGGAGTGAAACTTGATACAATTTTCTGCTGCAAAAAAAAAAAGTCCATGATCTAGTGACAAAGTTAATACTTTTGCAACCTACCTGTGACATCAGCACTTATCACCTTGGCAACCAATGAAAAATATTTGCTAGAATATCCTGCCAAACTTGCCGCCAGAGGGAGAATGTCTGCAACATGAGCCACCAAGAGATGAACATATTTCCTCAGTAGTGACCCAGCACCAAGCAGCTCTGCATCTGTAAAAAGACAAGTTAAAAAGTCCTCAGAATGTTTTAAATATAACACCTCACACTGTTAGCTAGAAAGGTATTTTATATTTAAAAAAGTAGACAAAACCTAACAAACTTCAGAGAAAGAGAAAAAACAAGGCAGCAAAGCTGTCAAATGTACAGNGGATATGCTGATTTTCGAACTCAACCTGCGTTTTAGTAAGATTGACTACTCCTGTGAGTATAATGACAATTGGCCTATATCTGTTTTTCTTATATTGTGTTATCAGTGTTGCATATATGCTGAAAAAGTGAAAAAACAGCATAAATTCCCTTAAAATGACCCAAGCATGCTGATTTTCGAACTTCACCTGCATATTATGAATATTCATCAGTTCTGTAAGTTTCAAGCCAAAAGGTAAAATGGTTTTCCACTTATCATGTATCGGGGTTGCATATATGCTGAAAAAAGTGAAAAAACGGCATAAATTCCCTAAAAATGACCCCATCACGCTGATTTTTGAACTTGACCTGCATATTATGAATATTCATCAGTTCTGTAAGTTTCAAGCCAAAAGGTAAAACCGTTTTCCACTTATCGTGTTATCGGTAAAAGTGCACGCCAACGGCAACGGCAACGGCGACGACAGACGCAGGTGACGGCTATATGTACAGACACATCTGTGTCTGTACATAATAAAAAGCTGAAAGAAAGATTACACAGTGAATATGAATAAAAACATGGATATGTTATGTATATTGATATGTTATTGAAAAATTAACAATATATGACCATCATTATCAATATACACAAACTGTTGATTTCAAAAATAGTTACTCAATGCTGCAACAGATATTAATAATATAATCAACATCAGTGTAGATGCATGCCCTCAAGTGTAAATAGGTCAAAGCCTTTTTAATTTTCAATCCTTCTCCCAAGTTTGGAATTGCCACAAATCTATGACCTATTTACCATTATGTGTGCTATGTGATTTAACAATGAGAACTCACAATACATTTGTGTTGATCATGGTGCAGGTACACAAATAGGTCCAAACAGCATGTTAACTTATAATAGAGTACAAAGCATTCAGGTTACTGCACTTTGGCAGGTAGAGAGCTCTATGAGACATAACCTATACGTGTACTTCAACATATTTTAAATTTATATGATAAACTTTAGGAGGAGAATACAAATTTAAACAGAATTATGAAAAGCCTACCTGTATCTAATGTGGGCATTTCTAATGTTGGTCACGATAAGGGAAAAGACTGAAGTCTGACTGCCTGACTTTAACAAGACCACTTTCCAAGATGGCTACATACTCAGCAAAAGCAGGCACAGCAAGCAGAGCTGGAGGTTATGTTACTGACATAGGAAATGTAACAGATAAACTGCTAATATGTTCTGTGTGCAAGGAAAAATTAAAGGAGCCAAAGTTTCTTCCATGTCTCCATACATTCTGTGCTCAATGTCTGCTGGATAAAACAGCAGACAAAGGAGAAGGGGAGAGGTTTCTCTGTCTGGAGAAGGAATGCAAGGCAGACGCAATCCTCCCACCAGGGGGAGCAATGGAATTTCCAGACAATCTCTTCTTGGCTAACATCATTCAGTCTCGGCATCCCAGTGAGATGGACCACCTGTGTGATTTCTGCAAACACCAAGAGAAAGAGGAGCCGGCTGTGGCAAGATGCCTGCAGTGTCGTGAGTTTTTATGTGCAGACTGCGCTGACATGCACAACCAGACTTCACTCACAATCTCGCATGACGTACGAGCACTAAATAATCTCAGCTCTGCGACCATCCAAGGAAATATCCTACATAATGGTACATCTCATAACAGAGGAGATGCCTGCATCATTCACCCTGACCAAACAGTACAGTTCTACTGTTACCAGTGCAAGTCACCTGTATGTGAAAATTGTCTGGAGGAAGACCATAATGGACACAAGAAAATCAAACTGCAGTCTCTGGTTCAGCAGTACAGAGGACAGGCCTTAACGTTGGTGGGGAAACTCCAAAACAAACTGGTAGACATACAGCAACTCTCTATGAGTTATGATACACGTTTGGCAGCAAGAAACATAGACCAAGTGAAGGCGCAGATACAGGAAACCAAGCTGAGCATGTTCAAAACCTTGGAAGATGAGGAACGCAGGCTAATAGCAGAGATCGACAAAGCATTCAAATTGAATGAGAGACAAGGAAAAGGCACCAGCTTTCAAAAGGCCATCCAAGGACGGGAGTACGACCTCAGGAGCAGTACAGAGATCACAGGAGCCGTGCTTGACCATGGCAGTAATACTGAGCTGGTTTACATGCAGCCTTCTATCAAGGCTCGTTTGGAGGCCCTGGACAGGGTCCCGATACCCATCATCCCTCAGCAACTGTCCTTCCACTTTAATCCTGCACCCAAGCCTCTACTGGGGACATTACAAGTCGAAACCCTTAAACCCAAACAAGGGGGCAAGACACAGAAGCAATGTAAGTACAGCTAATTATAACTAGATCTATTAAATGAAATTTTATTACTGTTACCAATTTATGAAGTGTCATCCACTTTTGAAGCAAACTGATCTAATATGAAGCTGTTTTTGAACACAGTCATAGTATTAGTAATTACTTAAAAAAGTATAATATTGTACCGAAGTATGTTAACCTGAATAGACAAATAAACTTAAATACTACTGAAAATCAAGCAGAAAAGTAATTTCCCATGTTAATATTTTAGAATTATATTTATCCGTATGTAGCCACTGTCCTTAAATCTAATTATCCGTTAACAGTTCTGTCATCAAAATATTTCTATCAACTATGTTCTGTTCCATGCAGATGAAGAAATGGCAAAGAAAATGGTGCCAGGCACAAAAGTGAAAAGAGGAAGAGACTGGCGCTATGGCAATGAGGTGAGAGGATAGGAAATTTCTATCATAATGTATATCATATGATACAAGGTTCAGATTAGACCCAGTTATCTGACCAGCTGTCTCAATCTCTCCCCCTCAAACTGTGTACTTCTTACATTTTTTTTCTTGTGTAATAAATAAACCTTTTTACAAGCATTTTCAAAATGAAAATTTCAAAAGTAAAAATCACTCCACATTTTACTTCACATCTTATCTTTTCTTTTCCACAAGCGTTTAATACTCCAATACTCTTCCACAATAATATTAAAAGCAATTTCTTAAATTTTAAGTGAAAGTCACCAAAAATTCCTTTTCATTTATCACCTTTCAGGATGGTGACCCCCCTGGTCAGGGGAAGGTGGTGGACCAGTTATTTGGCCTGAATGGCCAGGACACAGAGGTCAGTCACATTAAAGTGAAGTGGGACAAGAGTGGACGAACAGAAAAATACAGGATGGGGGCAGATGGCTGCTACGACCTGCAATTAGCATAATCAGTAGCCATTTCATCAATCATGGTTCATCCTTTTATGGGTCAATTAATGATAATATTAACTTTAAATTTAAACGTGATGGTTTTGTGGTAATTAATGTGAAAATGTTTTTATGTAAGTAGTGCTGAAAGGCATGTGAAGTTCAATTTTTTACTAAATAAATGGATATTGTCATTACAAAATGATTTCTTGGAATTATAAAGAGATTCATGGTCAACTGCAGCAAAGATAATTGAACTCAATTAAATTACTTATTTTGAGAAGACAGTTAAAAAAGATGGGCATTACAGAATTTGAATTACTTATAATGAATTTTAAGAAAACTACAAACAACTCTTTCTACTTACTGTGGAAAAGTGACCTAATAAGATGCCAAATCACTTCTCAATTTTAATTTAGCAACTACTTTCATGTCTTTTTTATACCAGTATACATCAACAAAAGCTGACATGCATGATTATATATGTGTATGTGCATGCATGAATGCTGAGTAAATGGTATTTACTGACCTATCTCCATTGACCCCTTCTTCTCTTTGAACTCCTCCCTCGGGAAAATCTTTGCCATGAGCAGTCTTTGAAACTGGAGCAGTAAGTTGATGGAAGCAATGTTGTCTGAAAGGTCCAAAGCTTCTGTTTTCACCTGAGGGTCCTGAGACAGCTCATTCAGTCTCGAAAGCATCTGAGTAGAGGCATTTCTGATGGAAAAGGAAAATAAATTCATAAAATCAGGTCAAATTCTATGAAACAGATATTCATTTAAGTGACATTTTAAATTATTCCTTTAGAAACAAGAAGATCATATTGTCCTTTCTGTAACATTACAGTTATAACATCCTGTTTATCAGTCACTTTCTCATTTCTCAATGTATCAGTATTTAAACAAATCTTTGTCTTAAAACAAGTAAAATATATCACTACCTCAAAAGCTGCTGCACTAATTGTAGCAAAGGTATGGATGAATCGCCATCTACTTGGATATCTTGGCACTTCTGTGCCTCCTCCTCTAGAAGAGCTTCTTCTGACTTTAACATGTTGGTTGCCTGTCCAATTTTGTCCATGTCGTCTGGTTCTTTTTCTGTGTCCTTTTCCTAAAAGAAAGTATGACTCAGTAAAATATCAAATTTCACTAAACATTTCATACACTATTGCAGATTTTAAAAATTCAAGCAGTAGATTTTAGACAAACCAAATTCAAAGCTTCTTTAAATATACGCTAATGATGATAAAATGGGACTCAAACTTTCGACAGTCACAAAATAATTTCATTATGCTTATAATAAGTCTGATTACTAACATTACATTTTATATCATCTAGTCTTAAGGAACTTACTGTTTTCTCCTCGATCCCCTCTTTCTCCTTCTTAATGGCTGTCCTGAGGGCCATCTCTAGTCCACCATCGGCCATTAGGCTGCTGACCAATAGATCTGTCATGAATCGCTGACCAGGACTTAATACTGCCATGTCTCTGGATCCTGCAAGTTATGTATTAAAGACAGCATTATCTCCAAGTTCATATGAATTTTAAGCTTTAACTCATAGGGTGCATTTCCAATTAAATTACTGTTCTATGTAGATTGATCCTACCCTGCCAGGGCTCTTGCTGAATCCAATCAGATTAACTGAATGACACGCCTCATCAAGCAGGTAGGGGATGATTAACTTTCGTGTGAATCTGTCACACTCAAAACAATGAGTTAATCAACCGTAGCTGCTCGAGGAGGTGTGTCATTCAGTAAATCTGGACTGATCTACAAAGTCAATTGAATGTATGTCAATTCAAGATGACTCTTACCTCCTGTGGGCAAGAGTGTGCTCAATGTCCTAGCCCTCTCTTCTGCAGTTGGCAGTAATAATGACCAACCATTCTGCAGGGCTGACTGTGCTGCAGACTGCACCGTTGCTATGACACCACTATTGGTTGCCAGGGCAATAATTCTCTGCTTGAGACTAGTGATAAGTCTGCTACCAGGGTTTAGCCCCAGGTTCTCAGCATCTTCCTCTTGATATATTGCTGCATACAGCTAAAAAATAAATAAAACTTTTTAACAAATGTCTGCATTGAAGCTCTCGATATAAATCTGCATTTTACACTTGATATAAAGCTGCATACAGCTAAAATTGTGAACTAAAATTTTCTAACAAATTTCTGCATTGAAGCACAGCTTCAATATTGAAGTCAGTTTCCATAACAATTCAGCAATTTTTTTGTTATCTATCCCTATCTCAAATGGATCAAATCGCATTTATCCAAAAAAAAAAAAAAAAAAAAATCACAAACTATCTTTTAGGTTATCCAATAATACACACACAAATAAAGAAATTAACTGCTGATTTAATATTCTGTCATTTGATCTCACCTGCAGACTCAGAAGATTCAGCGCCCCGACTGCCATACATTCTTTCTCTTGTGGCGGCGGCCAGTCACTTCGGCCGTCCATCCCCTCACACACACTGTCCAGTAGTCTGTCCAGCTGCTCAAAGGTGGACTTACACAGGTCCACCACAAATGGCACTCTGGCCCCCACTGACCACTGCATGCTGGATGACCAGGCAAAACTCTAGAAACAGAAAGAGAGCAGTTTTTATACATACACTGAAGCAATATTGAAGAATGTAGAATCATATTGGTTGTGAAAATTGCTCTTCGAACAAGAGGACTTTTTTTCTGTCTATTAACCTCAGTGTAAAATATTCAGACCCTGTTTAAAAAGTTGTTGTGTGAGAAGACAAAAGAAAATCAAAAATTTCCAGAATAAAAAAGGAACAAATGATCAAAATACAATGTATTTAACCAATCATTTTCAACACCCATCACCTGATTAAGCATACATGTTAACAAATACTCTCAGTTCTCACCTGTCCGGGTCCACAAGCCACCCCTATGATATGTTTCCCCTGCAGGTGGGTCACCACACCGGGGTCAGTCTTGGTGCTACTGTGTCCATCTCCCTGTTGGGACTGGTCATTTCTCCCCCAGCTGTACACGTCCCCGTCCTCTGTAAGGGCCAGGCAGTGTGTTGGACCTACGGCAATGTCCACTACCTTCTTACCAGACATGGCCTCCAGTTGTTTTGGGTGGCGTACATGCTCCTCTGTGCCATGGCCGAGTCTGTAATTATCTCCTTTACCCCTGGGAAATAAGTGAGAGGGATATATTTTGTGTATGTTTATACTGGATATAAGTGCCAAAATGCCCCTGAGGAGCAAATAATAGAGATTTGTGCTTCCTTAAAATGTTTGGATAAGAATGCATCTGATTCTATACTCTACATATATATTTCAGGATAAAGATACATCCATATTTTACAAAGTACAGGAATCATAACTACTGCATAAAAAAATAATTTTTTCTATTAAAATATGAATAAAGAATATAAAATGTATGAACACTACCATTTACATGTATTATATACAGTACTTTTCTTGTGTGGTATCACATTTAAATTGATAAAAGTTGGATGTGACTGTTTAAATAGTCTACCTGCAAGCCAACTTCAACTGTCACTTGTTATTTCCCAAAAACCCATGATTTGAAAACTAAGCAAAAAGTTTCCTATATAAATCTAGATACTAACCATGAGTAGACAGCTCCTGCCTTAGACAGAGCCAGACTACACTGTGCTCCACAGTACACCCGTACTATGTCCAGACCCTGCAGTTTCTCCACCAGCTTGGGGCTCTTGCAGCCCTCACTGCCACCTCTGCCCAGCTTGCCATAGTCCCCATCACCCCAGGAGAACACAGAACCTGAAGGGACCAACACTTGATATTTGTCATAGTTTCCATATTATATACATCATAATACAGTTTTTACAATGATTTAGTCATAAGCTTACCATCATCAGAAGCAAGAGAACACAAAACCTTAAGGAATCAACACTCAATATTTGTCCTTTTCTAAGTGTCCATAGCTTCTTTATTATATACATCATAATACTGTTTTAATAATATATTACAGCAATGATCTTAGCATAACACTGTATATGTACATAAAAATGATCTTAGTCAAACACTTACCATCATCTGTAACAAAAGAACATGAAACCTGAAGCAACCAATACTCAATATTTGTCCCTTCCAAATTATTCACAACAAGCGTCTACACCATTAAGATTTTATGTTTTCCATAAATATAAAACCCAGACCTTATTGAANTTTTTGATATAGCGCAATGCCTAAACCATATCTAAAACAAAAAAATGGACACCACCTCCAGTATTGCACTTGACAAGTTTTACAAAATGCAAGGAACAAAAGGTCTCTGGCATTTACCATTCCAGAATAAAAGCAAGTTTTCAGTTTCGGTATCTAATGGCTGCTTCTCCCGTGAAAATGCACCGATTGACCCCAAACTCCCAAAGATGAAAGGAGTCCCCAATTGTAACCCCTCACTATAACAGGAGAGCTTAGATCTGTGTAGTTTCCAAAAAATAGCACAAACAAATATTTTTTTGCAGAAAATTCCCATTTTTAGAAAATTTTGGCTTGTTTGACCTTGAAAAAAAGGTCAAAAGTCAAATCCAAGGGCATATTTGGAATCTCCAGATATGACTTTCGGTCAGGCTTCTGTGGTAATTTTTCCCATAATTCCTTTGGTTTGGGAGATATTTAGCCTTGAATTTTCAAAAATTTTGACAAGGGTGCGTTTTAACAAGTGTCACGCCCAGGCCAATGCACCAACAGAGACAAAAAAACCAGGGTGTTCAAGTTGAGATCATATGTGACCTAAATCCAAGAGATGGGGACACAGGTCCTGGCGGTCTAGGAGGAGAAGCGGTAACGGTGACTTGTTTCCGGCGCCCGACTGCGGAGCCGCAGGAGCCGGCGGAGCTGTACGAGACGGGTCGGGACTAAAACCATGAGTACCGCCAGCGTATACGCTGGTGGTACTAACAAGCACCATTTTGACATGTGATATTAGATTATGAATTCATGAAAGCTGGATTTAGACTCCGTTCACATGAAAAATCTATTTTCTAAAAATCTATTTTCTATTCGCGGTATCTTGTGATCACTTAGTCCGAGCGCAGCCGAGAAGTAATTACAGCTTTGGAAGTAACTGGCTCGCGCTGCCAGTAATTACGCTGCGGGGTATTCAGGGCACAGACCGTGATCACAAGATATCGCGAATAGAAAATAGATTTTTAGAAAATAGACTTGTCCTTAGATTGCTGAATAAGCTGGTTTTACTGGGCTCTTCTAAAGCACAAACAGCAAGATAAGTGGACTTTCAAAGGAAAAATAATAAAAAAATAGAAAGAATAATTGTTTTTGGTTTGTAACCCTACTTGTTATCTCCTAGGCCTAGTCTTCCCCCATCTCCATTTCCCCAGGCGAAAACATCCCCATCACTGGACAGAGCCATAAAATGCTTGCCGTCAGGGTGGGCCACAACCTTCACGATATCTTTATCACCAAACCCTTCCACAGCCTGTACATTCTGTGCCTCGGAGGTATAGTACAAACTGAACACCTTGCCTGTCTTGGTCAGTGCCAACAGCGCCCTCTCTCCACAAACTATCTGCTGGATACCCCCCAGGTCGCTGAGAGCTTGGACAAGCTGAGGGCCAGTTTTGCTAGTGCCCACCGTCCATGCTAGCCAGCCCCACCCCAGTACCTCCTGGGTTACTCTGCTGCTGTTAGACTGACAAAGAGAATTTGTTTTCTTATAGGTGGAGAAATCACAGACTTATTCTGAATGTTGCCTGTAACCTCAGTTTATAAGCAAATAAGTAGATAACCAGTTAAATTTTGACTAAATCCAAAAGATCTTATTGATTCAAGCAGGGCATAGGCAAGGAAAATTTTGATCTGGGTCTAGATTTAGAAACGGACATACAACAAACCTCAAGATCCATGATAAATCATGATTAGTCCACTTCATTGTAAAACTGTTACTGATATACAGAAATAGTAACATTTTATACAAACAGCTACTTTATTTTACTGGATTACTATTTATTTATTCTGAATTGAAGGAGTAGGACCATCTCATCAGATATTTCTTGAACTGGCTCCAGACCACAATTTTATCTCAATTTTATAGAACAATGAAATAATATATATTTGTCCATCATTTAGAGTGACCAACCTTGTGGCTTTCTTGTGGAGGGTTGTAAGGTCCAGAGAGGCGGTCAAGATGTGACACAATGACCACAGCACACTGTCTGAGGTCCAGCAGCATATCTTCATCCTCTGGAATGGAGAGGTATCGGAGAAAACACTCCGTGGGACTGAAGCTGTAGTTGGACTGCAAAGAAAGAATTTTGTTATTTTTAATTGTAGATTTGTAGTATTTAATGTAACTTTTCACTTTTAAAAAATTATTAAGAAATCTATTGCCTAATCAAACTTACAAGTTTTCGCTAATACAATATTGAATCTCATTCAGACTATTATAACTACTATTTATTAAATATACAATATTTTGCTTAGTTTTAAAATGCATTATTCAAATTAATTTACATTCATGATCACAAAATATCTTTTTGCCAATCCAGAAGCAAACTTCATATTAAAATGTTAAAGTTGCTATGTGTAAAAGTGAGTGCAACTGTATAAATGTACAAATAAACATATGAATGAAAAAAATTATAAACAGAAATAAATATATAAATAAATCATTGGCAATTGTATTTCAATAAGCACAAACTCTTCCATACCTCATCCATTTTCCCATGGTCCCATGCAGAGTGGGACTTTTGAGACTGAATCTCATTGAACCTCTTCAACAGAGGGACAAGAGGGGCACTACTGAGTCCACAGCTCCTGTTGTCATGGTCATACTTGCTGTTGTTCCACAGGTTGAGCAGCAAGTGGACTGCACCGAGCAGGTGGCTGAGAGAGCCGCGCTGGACAGCCAGCTCTAACAGTAAAGCCAGTGCTATCTGCTGGTCCTGGATGGGGACCTTGCCTGACCCTTTGGCTGTGGCGGCTCCATTGAGGTCACTGCAAGGTCAAAGTTTAAAGGTCAAAGGGTAAAGGTTGATTACTAGGGGCTATAGTTAACTGAACTAGTCTTATATAAAAAAATATTTCTTCAAAAAAATTTTAAGTGAATTCTATCATATGGGGTGATAGCAAAGTGTTTACCAATTGAATTTATTGCTGGGAAATATCAAAAGTAAAACTCCACATAAAAAAATTCAAAAACGTTAGGAAAATAAAGAAATTTACAAAACCATTTTTATCTGCTTGTGGTGAGAGAGCCTTTACAATCTACAATATTCATGCAGTAAAGGTACTTACCCTGCTACAACAGAGCGCAGAAATTTGGATGCTCTTTCCACCACCTCCATCCAAACTGGTGACACTGTGCTCTCATCAAACAGAGTAGCTTCTGGCAATGCTCTGAGAGCATCCAGAGATTCTTGGAGAAGTTCGCTACACAAATCTGCGTCTTCTCCAGACCTCCAAGCGCGGCGTAGGAATGCGAAAGCGAAACTGAGGGCAGCTCTGGAGCCCACCCTTGCTAAACCCATAGTGGCTTTCTCCACAGGTTTCTGAGAGCTGCAAGATTGAAATGCAGAAAAACGTCAATAATTTCTGTTTCATGTTCTTTTACAGAGGCATATAGTTAATAGCAAGTCTGTTACAGCATTTCCAGAATTTTCTTTTTCTTTTTTGGAGAACAATTATTACTATCATATATAATATCAACTGATGTGAAAACAAATAAAACCATTAACTCATAACAGCATCAATTTTTAAAACATGCCTTTTCTTTTTGTCCATGTTGGTTTGAATTGTCTGCTTTTTTCTTGTTGGAGATTTGCCCTCAGAGGGACTGTGGCGAGACAAGGCTGTGAAATATCTATAAGAAAACAGAAAACTTGAAAGAAATACTTTGGTACTTATACCTCAAAATACATCCAAACTAAAACTCATGATTCAATCTCAACAATCACACATCATTGATTAAAAGCAGTTAATATCAATTTTTTAAAATTTTATTCTGTTCATATGATGATTTCATGTAATCTTCCTTCTCTTTAATAATATGGGATGACTCTATGCAGAAAATTATATGCGTACCTTTCCAGCACCACCAACCTCTGTTTGAGTCTCATGGCGGACAGAGTGGTGCCCGCGGCATCACTCACCAGTTGATGGTGCTCATGAAGAAGGGAGTGAAGGCAAGCATTCAACTGATTCGAGTCTGAAAAATATGTGACACACTCTCAGATAACTCAGATTTACTTAATGTAAGATCTATAGAATAAGTAACAAGAAATAAGCCAAGCCTGTTTATTTGAAATAACCTGATCTAAAATCGATCTTCACTTATGCTCAGATCTCAGAAGCAACAAAAACCATGATTGTGTAATCAAGGTATGGAGTTAAAAGTTCTTCATGTAGGAGACAACAGGATGCTGTAGTATTAAGTGGAATTTCTTTGAATTACAGTGGATATTTCTGAAATTTATTTGTCTTTTTCATCCACCGTGTATATTCCATTTTGCTTCTGATATCAAACACATATACATACCTGGTTGCTGGCCCCAAGTCCAGGAATCTATAATGGAGTGGGATGGTTTCGGCATCTTTGCCTCTTCTTCTTTTCTTTCTTTCTCCTCTTGGTCAAGTTTCTGGCAGGCTGGACAGTTGCAGCCATTGTTTGGACCACAGTGACTATCGCAGCAGGCACATGACAACACCTTGGCGCCACAGTAATACCTGCCGGTTTCACCTGTAGCAAAAACAAGGTATTCTATAAATACTGTGATTTAGATATTCTGTTTCTAATTGTCACTGATTTGTCTTAGTCACAGCAACTTTGTGGCAATCTGGAGTTCTTAATGTTTGAGTGAGAATGGCTTAGAACTTTACCATAGAAAAATTTAATCCCAGTGATTCCACAAAACACAAGCATGCTAGACAAGACATAGTTCACCAAATCTACCTTTAAGTTTCAATCTGACTGATTATTAGTACTACATCTCATATTATTGTAACTGGCATAACTTTTCAATAGCTGTCAAATCTCTGCCCCTAACCACTGCAGCCTTTTTACCATGAATTCTACTATATTTTGTTTTGTGACAAGTTTCAAGCATATTTTGTTACTGGTAACAACCTTTAGTAACCTGTTATTTTTTTCCATAATACTGATGATGCCAATTTAACAAATTGCATTCATTATCTTTAGAGCACTGTTATAATACCCATCCTGTTTTAATTTGATGTTTCTCTCTGTTTAAGGTATCCAAAGAAATAATTGTCAAGTTTGCTGTTGGCTTGGTTACAGTACAAAACACAGTTTAACTAGAAGAGATTAACACCTACCTTTCTTGGCCAATAGCCCAGCACTGTTCAGAATCCCATCACTGACATCACTAACTATTTCCCTGTCTTTGACCAACTCATTCCACAACTGACTCAGCCCATCATGAGAAAAGGCAGCCTGGAAAATTATATAGAAGTCATTAACATCCCTTTTAATTCTAATGCTTGTATTAATTTTAACAAAAGATGACTTGGGGGAGGGGGTCAAAAACAAAATATCATCTTTGGAAAAAAAAACAAAGAAATACCAAAACATTTTTTGTGCTTAAACATTTTGAACTATACGTATATTTCTAACTTGGGGCTCCTCCCAAATGAAAATCCTTAGAATTATGTTGTTTATGAATGTATTCCACAATTTAGTAAGGAAAGGTATCACAAGGCTAAAGCCAACTTCCTTGGTTTATCAATTATGCTAGTAAATTTGCAGCCAAGTATTTCACAAGCCTTTGCTGGTCTGTATCTATTAAAACTGATTTCAAATCAATTTCAAAAATTACTTGGCTCCCAAGTCTCAACTATTATGGAAAAGTGCATAC